GAGCCGCTAAAGCTGCAAGCGGGGCTCCGCCCGCTGTGAGGGGACAGGGCCACGGCCCTACCCGCCGTGAGAGGACGGGGGCTCCGGCGTGAGCCCTCCTGAAGGGAGCGAGCCCCGTCCGTGGCTCAAGGCAGTGTTTGGCCTTAGGCGGGGGAAGGTGAGCGGTCTCCCCTGTTACCGGCCCCTGCAGGATGAGTACTGATATTAAAATTATTAATCGTCAGGAGAGCAGCCCCCACTGCTTTCTGGAGAAGGCTGTAGTGGTATGCGGTGGGTCCCCAGGGCAATGTTACACTTACTCACCCTAGTCTCGAGCCGCTCGTGGGTACAGCGGGGAGAAGAATTGGGCTTTGTCTTTGAGGGTGTATCTTCTAGCTCTCAGGGTCCAGAAGAAACCTGCTTCCCCCTTCCTCCCCTCCAGTTGCAAGGTGAATATTGGTCCTGCCTGCAAATCTTCAGAAGACAGCAAATTGCTTAATCTGGAAATCTAAAGACAAAGACCTTTAATGCTCTAAATTACTCAGGGCTTGTTAAAACAGTAGGCATAGAGCCTTTCTCAGCATCTCCTGTTAGGGCTAGACTTTTACTGATGGACAGTATTAGCACCAACGTCTGACGAGCAAATACATATATAGCCAGGTAAATAAGGAAACTAAGGCCTTAAACACAAATCCCATCAGAGAGGCATATTATGAGGTAATTTAATGTCATCTTAGGTGCTGCCTTTTCCCTGAATCAAGTTATTAGCACACAAATTATTGTGAATAAATCTGATTATTTTGCTTTGCTGGCTATGTATATCTGTAAGCTTTGCACTATATTCTACCTTAGAAAACTTTTCAAGTTGATTGTAGTAATGTTTTTCCTGTCAAAAATGGATTAGGAGTAGATTGGGAGTGCATTCTAAAGAAATACTTTTTTCTATTCTTAACCCTCAGAAACGTCCCATATCGTTCTACCACAGCTTATCTAATCTAGGTCTATCAAAATTGATTCAAAGATGCTGCTGTGTAATGACTATGTTAAGTATTAATTTGAGTTGAATTTCACTGGTGTGGATGGTGTCCCTTAAAACTACTCCCAGTGTTTAGACAGATCAGTGTCTGCATATCCAGTATAGATGTCCAAAGGCTGCACATGGAATTGGTTTCCATCAGAGATAACCTATTCAGGAGGGTTATTTACAGTCTTGGGTCACTAAGACTTAAGAGTCGGTCATCTATACTGTCTGCACAAAACTTAAATGCTGTGTTAATCTGAGTGTAACTTTTCATTGTCCTTCATTTGCCCTAAGTGGATTTTGGTAGCTATTACAGTAAGAGTCTTCATGCATTGCTAAAGCCAGTTTATTGTGTTCATGTTTAAAGTTTTCAGAATGACTTCCTTGGTTGACATGCCCCTGAATTATGAAAAGATGTTTGCTCATCGATTCACAGCAGATGATGAAGAATACCAAGAATATCTGAAACGCCCTGTAGATCCGCCTCCTATAGTTGAAGAATGGAGGAACAGATCTGGTGGCAACCAGAGAAACAGAGATCGGTACTGATTTTTTTCTTTTTTTTTAAATCTTGGTAGTTCCGCAAATACATAGTGAAATGATAATTATTTCAGAAGATAGATAGGAATTTGTTAATAGAAGTATCTTCTTGTTACTTTGTAAGTAACTGTGTTTAAGAGAAATAGTCTTCTCTGAAAGGTAATGAGGTTTTTACATTTTGTCTGTATTGATAGTCAAAGTTTTTGCATTGTGTATAAAAGTATTAAGTAATTTGCTTTTTTTTTAGTAAGGACTGAGCTGGAACCACTGAACCCATTGCCCTGGGGTTTGTTACTGCTCAGCCAGGAACGTTTTTTCCAGAGGGGAAAGATGAACGTTCTGCAAAACTAAGCAGCCTATCTTCTGTTGGATAATAACGGCAGGAAAATGTGTGAAGGAACAGGCTAATAGTGTGATTATCTATTGCTAACTGTCCAAAAAAAAGTTTCATTTGTAACCTAAATATTTGATGTACTTTGTTAGATTAGCCTGTATTTCTTTTATCTAGTAGAAATTACTGTAAAATACATCATCCAATCTGTCCAGCAAGTGCAATGTTACCTGCCTACTGCAAAATCTTTTGAATTATTTCTTCAGGATGTAATAGCAGCTTTTTACTGAATTCTGGAGAGTAACATCTGATTTTTGGGTGACTGAAAAACAATGATTACAGCATACAGTATGTTTGGTAATACTCACATCAGCCTTTAATATAAAGTCGTTAAGCTCCAGTCCAACTAACAATTGGGAAGGCTTCTTAGCTAAGTATCTAAATAGGATTTGTGCCTTATGTGAAGAAAAGGACAACATTCTAACTTCTCACCATAGAAGCTTGTCATTAAGTTAAATACAGAATCAGTTTCTACAGATTAAAAAAAAAGCAATTGTGTAAGGAGATGTTTTTACAAAACTTCGTGGTTCTTAGAACGAATGAACTCTTGCATCTATACTCTAGTCACAAAGTGAACCTCAAGTAAGTGTTGTTTGTCTGCACTATGCCACTGAGATAACCAAGAAAATGACTGTGAGGCAGCTCAAGCATTGATAGGAATTGAGATACAGCTGAAAAGCCAAATTTAGACTGAACAATGGCTAAACACCACTGGTAAGATACACTCTCTTGAGTATGGCAATCTACAAGAGACCATGAAGCAGTGATATTTTAAGGAATATGCAAATTCCAGGACTCTCTGCTGTTAGGGACCTAAATTGTACTTAAGCCTGCTTTGCCACAGCTTTCAACCATGCAGCTACTAGATTGAACCTGGCTTTGCTACCGCTACGGATGTATCTTCTGGTTGTTTTTTAGATATATGGTCTGTTTGAGTCGCTGTTCAGAGTTCCAGCAGTTCACCTAATGCCTGTGAATACTTTGTGTGTTAGGAAACAGACTGTCCTTACATCCTTAGCAAATACTATGTTGGGTAGTAGTAAGAAATTAACGAATGAACTCAGATGACTGTAGATATGTTTTCCTCAGTTTGTCATAAAAACAGTTAAGTAATTGAGTGTATAAAGTTACACGACAGTTTTAATGAAACATGTAAAATTTTAGAGCTCATTATCATTCATATTTTTAAAAACTCACAATTTGTGTGAATCTTTGATGTTTCTTTTCATTGCAGGTTTCAAGACGGTAGATATTTTCGAGGGGACAGGTACAACTGGCAAGGTGACTATAGATCTAATCAGAGGCCAGAAAGAAGTTGGGGTAATAACTACCAGCAGCACAGGCAAGGACAGTCGTATTCCTCCCACTACGGACAATATGGCTACAACTCCTACAACTCAGGCCCTCGTTACCATCCCTACTGATGGTACTTGTGGTTTGAAAGTCCAGTAATGCTACGTAACAAATTCAGTTAGACTTCAGTTTTCTTATTTTTCCACAGTTTTAGAGATAACTGAAGAATCAATATTACAGTCCATTGCTGTTTATCTGTTGTGTGAAGTGAAAAAGAGAATACCTTTTATGAATAGTAAAAGCATATTATATGGAGTTTGTTTAGAATCTGTAGATCTTAGATTAAATTTCTATCTCATCCTTTTGTCTGAACACATACTAGTACACTTCCTCCATCACCGAGGGTTCTCTCCATTACGTTTTAGGAAACACAACAGGTCAGGGGAAAATAGCTGTGGTTTGTGTGCAGCCTGTAGCAGCGGCACGTTGCCTTAGGAGAGTTCTTTTTGAAAGTGACATGCTGTGTCTTGCTCTGGACAGAATTTCTTAGTTTGGCTTTTGATAGTGAGAAAAGCTCAGTTTGGTTTGAATTTCAGACGCCTTAAAACTGAGAAGAGAGATGCTACTGCAGAAATATTCTATGGGGTCAGCATAGTGTCTGTTGACCCAATGGCTTCAATTTATTTGCAGTATTCCTCTTAAAACATGGTCTAAAAGTTGGAATAAAAATTAAATCATTTAAATATGTATCTTATTGTAGTAGTTCAGTGATACACAAGTTTCACCTGCAAAGTGATATCAGACTTAGATTAATTTGTGTTGTCTTAAAATAAATTTGGTATGTGTATAAGAAATTTTTGAATTCCCATTTCAGTAAAGCTGTAAAATGTTGATGATAATTGTAATTAGTTTGTAGGAGATACTTTGTGCATGTTATAGAATAAAGGAACTGTTATCAGTACTGTTCTGTACTTTTTTTGCATGAGAAAATAGCATAAGCAGTGCAGAGCGTTATTCGTTTCTTAGAAATTAAGTTCTGTGGGTTTTTTTAAGTATTCGCACAATAAAAGTATAGTTCACATGCACGGATGTTTCTGAATATTTCTGAAAGCTACTTTTGAAACATTCAGAATTGCAACACTGTCATCCAGGCTGACGGCTGCACAAGGAGCAGTGCTAACAGCTAAGTGTTAATACTGGACAGATGTTGGTTTAAGTTAGAAGAATGGCCTACTCAGCGACAGTCAAGAGGATGAGACACACTGTGATTAATTAGGAGTCTGGAGTGTTAATCCACTATCTTACATTCTACTATAATAGGGTCAAAGTTCTCCATTTCAGCACTTACGTGATAAGCTAATTTGTTATCAGGAGAGCAGTGCATTTCTGTGTGCTGGACATTTTCTTCTGCTGTTGTACAGAAACACGGACCCATCCACACTGACTGTTGTAAAGTCATGGCATTATGTGATAAGGAGCACAAATTAGTGCATCTTGGTTTAAAAACAAAGAATAAATAAAGAAGTCAAAAACAAAGTCTCCCAGCTCATAAGATGCTTCTAAGAGCCGAAGAGTACGTTTACTGTTGATCATAGAAACACACACTGTATATAGCTTTTATGTAGTCTGTGATACAAAAGCTACGACACAAGCATCTCCACCTACCTGCTAAGTATTTTTCTGCTTTTCATATAATATTGTGAGCTCTGATACAGTTTTTAATATCCTACTCCCTGAAGTATTTGCCTTGACTTCAGTTCATAAACCTTAGAAATCTTTTAGCGAGAGGTTTGTCTTCCCTTAAGGAGTTCTCCTGGATGAAATGGACCCTTTTTAACCCTCATGAATATGGCGGAGCTGTTACACTGGGGGATGTAAGATCATGCAAAGTTCTTACCTGTGTGCTGTGGGGAGCCTGCAAGTTGGTATGATGGAATTCCCTTTTAATGCAGAATCACATGCAAAGTGCCAGATATCCCAGACTCCCACCTCGCCAAGAAGGGAGCGCATCTCTTCCTGCAAAGAGCCTGATGCTGCCAGCGATGCTGCGGAAGTCAGGCTGTGCCAGGATGTTCTTCCTCCTTACCATCTGGAGTAGCAGCTCAGGTTGAAATTAAACCTGGCAAAAGGAACTGATTCTGTCTCATCTGTTGCTTTTCCTCAAGCCCAACAACTACTTTATTTTTAGTGTCTTTCAAAAGACATTAAAGAATCTACACCATTGTGACCAAACCATAGAAGCAGATAGATTAGGATGGCCTAAGTGGAAATTATGACTTAGAATCACGCATTTCATGATCTCAGGTCTCATGTTCAGAGCTTCTTGACTGTGAGACCAGGAGAAACACAGGCCACTGCAGCCTCCCAGTTTCTGCCTTTACATTCTTGACTCTGTCTGCCTCACCATGAGAGCTCTCAATTCAACTTTAAGGACCTGTATGCTTTACAAAAATTTTCCTTGGAACAATTATGGCAAGAATCTAATCACTGGACAGAAAGGTAAATAGAATTCAATATCTATTACCTCCAGCGGTTTCCACTTAGATGAATTAGTATTTATGATAAAGTCCAGTTCATTGTTTCTGTCAAGCTAAACAAAACCAGTAAGTATTGCCTGGAGTTAGGGTTTGTACATTACAGTGTGTTACAGACGACAAAGCTGAAGCTGGTCAACATCAACATTTGCAATTTCAAACCCTACAGAAATTGTTTGCTTTAACTATGCTGGAGATCGCAGGGTAAACATTGAAATTCAGCATCTGGAATCTGACTTTAAGAGATCTCTTCCATCTGACATTTGCTCACACATCATTATTATAATGAATAAAACAAAGATAAGTGTTACATATTAAAAAATGACTGCCACATTACCAAGAGTTTGAATGCCCCAGAAGTTCTGAACACAGCTCCTGCAGCAGTTCTAAATCCATTCCTGAAGACACAGAGCAATTTTCTATGGACTGTTAACTGATACTGAAGAATTATCATGCTAAATTACAGGTGCTGTGGCGAACAACTGAGAAAACTCAGTAGCTTTTATACAATTTCTTAACTAGCATTTAAAAAAACGCTAAAGGCTTTCAAATCACAGCTAAGCCACTAGATACCTGAAGGCAAAAGAGAAGCGCATAGGGAAAAAAAAAATCTGAGTGTGATTTGTGAGATACAATTTTACAAGTGTTCACTGCTATTCTACCTCTATTTTAGCCTAGCTCTGCAGCTGGGAATAGAAAAGTGCAGACGTGCTTTGAAAGGTTAGTTAAAAGCCAAACTACTTTCAAGAGGCTCTCTAGCAGGGATTTCAGACAGGGAAGACAAGTGTCATTTCTGATACACACATAATCAACATTCAACTTCTAGAACAAAAAAATATATTTAATCTCCTACTGTTTAAATATATTTGAATATATTGCAGCAGTTATATATTTGAATATATATAAACTCATACTAATAATTTGCTAATAAATATTCTGCTTAACCAAGAAGCATGTTCACATTTGCTTCTTACACTGAGATGTTGGAAGGAAAATTCTTTTTGCATCAAATTTAAGCTAAGGTTTTGCCTGCCACCACCCCTAGTCCTTAGGAAAAAAAAATAAATCTCTGAATTACACAACTCTGGGTGAATCTTGTTAGCTGAGCCAACCTGTGCAGTCACACCTTCTCTAACTCTGACAAGCAAGAGGGGGGAACATGGAGCAAGAAGGAAGGGAAAACATGACTGCTCCTTACAGCAGCTACTGACCACCTTAGGAGCGATTCAATGAAACCGCATCTCCCTTGCCAATCAAGAAAAATTACTATAATCTGTCCCCGTGTCCCTGTATGTTAGGAGAGAGCTATATAACCCCACTTAAATTGTGCACAGTGCTGATATTCTAATGAGCAGAAGCTAAGCAAGATTATAGGGCAGATCAGGTTTCCCTGAAAAGTACCTAGGAAATATGCAGTCTGACTTGAGACACACAGTGGTAAATCCTAGAGATCAGAACAGAGTCCAGTGGCTCCAGCACTGCCAGAAGAGTAGATGGCAACCGTACTCTGGTGGTGTGCAATGATCTTGCCTCTTGAGAGAATTATTTTTTTTCATTATGCCCTGCAGGCTGGAATTTATTTTTGTGTTTACCATGGCCTATATTTTCCTTCAGTAAAGCACGGACTGCGCTTAGTGGTTGTCAGTCCTCATTTGCTTATGCGAAACAGCGATGCCAAAGTGTTTCTATACAGCTAACCCCCTGACTTTCTAAGTACTCTGTCCTGTTAAAATGCAAATTTATTACAAGAGATGGTAAAAGTTGGTAATAACTATGTTTTCCTCTAAGTCCACTAAACACACAATAGGATAAATCATGTCGTCATCCCCAACGGTCACCTTTTTTGTTATTTGTGACTAGCAGGCACACAAATTAATGCTGTCTTTTTCCAAACAGAGACGCTGCTTTTTCAAATGACACTTCAGTAGCCAGGTAACTTCTTTTTCCATAAGTATGGGCTGCCTTCTTTTTTTTTTTTTTGCATATTATATAATTCAAACCTGGCTTCACTAATAAAAGATGCATCAATAACAAGTTTCAAAGCTGCTGCTGCTCTTTGTTTGAAGAAAATACTCATCTATTCAAAAGATGAGTTAAAAGTTAAGAAAACAACTTAGTTATTTGTTATAGAACTACAAAAATAACCAAGGCCCAACCTTACCCATGAAAAAAAAATCTTCAAGGATTCAAGCAGCATCATCAAACTGAGCTATGTTACATGTTAAAAGAATGATTAAGACACTAAGCTTTTTCAAAGCTTTCTTGTTCGGTGTGAGGAAAGACAAATTTATATACCCACATAAATTAAATACTTACGATGATAATTAATACTGTTAAGATAAAGGTTAAAAAAAACAAGCATACCATAAGATGTTTCACATAGCTTTTGGCCAGCATGTTCCAAGTTTAGCATGATCCGAGCTGATCAGAAAGCAGATGCTCTTTGTCCAAAGTCGCGTCTGAAGTTTCTTTCTGAAGAAATGTTTGAAACAATACATTTTCTATTGAAAATGTGCTCAAGAAAAATAAAGTAATAGCTGCCAAGTGCAACCAGCTCCAAATGATTACATATTATTTTTACAAAATAAAATTATTTTTTCCATAGCAAAGGCCTGGTTTTTAAGTTTTACCCTTCTGTGGTCATCAAGTCATCTTGATTTATGAATGCCACTGAGACCTAAACCAAAGCATGTTTGAGAATACTGCTTCAGTGGTTTTAATGGTATGAGCATTTAAATGCGGCATGCGAAACTTCTGGAGTTTAGATCAGTTTAGTGCAAGAGTTCTGTGTGGACACATGGTCTCCTCAGATCAAGCTCATGTTACTCATTCATAAGCCACACAATTGAAACGCCTGTTCTGAAGTGAACTGGTGGAGAATCAAGCTTGGGGTACACACACCCACCCACCCCCCTCTGAACCCCAGCTCCAGCTAAATTGCTATAAGAACGTAAAGGAGCTTTTACCTTAAATTGCCAACAAGAGCAAATCCTATTTCTCTAACCCTGCAGCTCAGAGGATACTTCATTGAGCAGAATCACATTTTTTGTTGTTCTAAGGTAAGATGGAAGTGGAAGGGCACGTCGTACAGCCCAGGCAATGATGGGAAGGAGCATGGCTGAGCTAAAGGAACAATTGTTTCATGGCTGTTTCCTTGTGTATCCTGAACCCTGTAGGGGAAAATAAGTTTTGAGATTTGATTATTGGTTATCAAGTGACTTTATTGCCGTGCCACAGCCTGGGGGAAGGAAGAGAAATTCCTTCCTCCTCCACAGACTCCAGGGACCTCCCCAGCATAAAACAAGTTGGCAGAACATGGACCTAGGAATCTGGAAGCAGTTAAGCAGCTGACTCATTACACTGGCAGAATTTAAGTCCTTAAGCAAGGTGGAGAGATCTAGGGAACAATAAACAAATAGTTATTGATCACATATCCTGCAGTCTGGGTAAATCCAATTGAAGAACCTCTTTAGACCTCACCAGCAGGATTTTAGTTTTTAAAGACAAAATGGATTTATTGCTAGGTAATAATAACTTCCCTCCATACCTGCATTAGACATATTCTTACGACTGGCCTAAAAATGTTTTTTAAATCTAATACTGTTTTTACTCTGCCCTTGCTATCATTACACAGGCACCAGGCTGTCTATTTCAGATATAGCTGTTTTACTAGTTCCTCACATTCTTGAACACTCCTGAAGACAAGGCCTTTTAAAGCTACTTTAAAATTCAAAAAAGGCAGCTTTGCCACAGTGCCAGTCATTCCACCTGAACTAAAAAGAAAGTTAAAAGGAAAGGATGTTTTCAAAGATAGAACCAGACACGCATGTTAATTCCCAGCTCAGCTACAAACCACTTCTAATGCTTTTGTGTCTCCGCTTCCGTCCGTAAAACAGTGGTTAAGCCTGCCCTGTTTCCCTCTTCTGTGCTCTGTATTT